TTGATTTATTCTTTGTATTACTACTACTTTTGTTATATATATATATATATATATATATATATATATATATATATATATATATATATATATATATATATATGTGTGTGTGTGTGTGTGTGTGTGCATGCACACGAACAAGAGAGGTTGTAAATTTTCAATTTATATTTTTATGTGATTTGGGTTTATAGTTTAGCTTATTTCATTTAGAATTTTTTTTTTTTTGTTTCCATTACCTTTGGTATTAAATATCTCACATTGTTACAACAGAAGATCTGTCAATTATGGTTAAATAATCGGTATATATATATATATATATATATATATATATATATATATATATATATATATATATGTATGCAGTGTGCATCAGACAAACCTTTCAAATTTTGGTGTCTGGTTTCTCACACCAAAACAACGACAAAAGTCCATATAAACACATGTCCACAAATCCTTTGTTTTTGAGTTATTAAATTATTGTTAAGTTATTGAGTTATTGCTATTGTTTTTGAGTTATTAAGTTTAAACAAATTTTACAGTAGTGTGTGGCCATATAGACTAGATTACATTTGTTATTTGTGTATATTTATGGCTAGTCTGTCTTGAACGTTTAACTTGTGTAGTAATTAATTTAGAAGTGTTCCATTTAAGAATGGCAAGATATTCATATCTGACATGACAAATATGATTTTTATATACGACCGCGTGAATGGTAATGGACGCTAGCCTGTACTGTTGCGCTTCCAGGCCGAGGGCAGTTGATAGTCATCCCCCACTTGCTATTGTTTATCGTCGCGTTGCTGGGACAGAATCCGTGACACCACAAATGGCAGTCTGTCTGAAGTTATTAGGCAAATCAAATAAACCTCAATAACTCAAAATGTTCTGAACCAATATTTGTCCATTTTCACCCTTAGTAAAATATTTAACTATATTTTCTGCCATATTTAATGATTCGTTTTTTAGATATTTAGAATTTACGAAAATGGACTGATTGAAGTTAGAATGCTGATTAAACTAATATTAGCTTAAAACCTCTGGAGTTTAATAAAGTGGGCCAAGAATTACATGAAAATTGACATTTCTAAAATAATTTTCACGGACGAATCTCGAGTGACATTTGATGGGCCTGATGGATGAGCCAAAGAATGGATTTTATCCAATTCAGATATGCCTGTGGTTAAAAGAATGCAACGAGGAGGCGGTACTGTTATGATATGGGCTGAAATTGTCCATGAACCTATTATGGGACTATTCAAAGTCGACGAAGGAGTTAAACTGAACATTGCTAAATATTGCCATTTTATAAAAGATTTTCTTTTTATGATACAATTCCCAGCCTCACAGTTTCAAAGTGAAGTGTTTATTTATTCACGACAATGCTCTTTCTCTTGTATCTAAACTTACTCGTGAATTCTTTGAGCATAAAAGATTTACAGGAGAGAAGATTATGGAATGGCCACCATCAAGTCCTGATTTGAATCCGATCGAAAATCTATGATCAATTGTGAAGATGAAATTATATGAAGTGGGCAAACAATATAACAGCAAAGCAGACTTATGGGAAGTTGAACCTGTAGGTGATATTACTTGCTTTGTCAAATTTTCTTCATTACACATCGGTTGTCTTATAAATGCCCTTCGTTTTTAGTTTGAAACCCCTCGCTCGTCTTCTTCTTCTTCTTCTTCTCTCTCTCTCTCTCTCTCTATCTCTCTCTATCTCTCTCATCTTCTGGGTTTTAACTTTAAATCATATAGTTTTTTATTGTGCGTAGTGTCACCACAAATGTATACACACGTTTCCGGTGTCTGTTTTTTAAATTTTAATTTATGTCAGCAAATCGGTAGTGAATTATTCATCGAAAAATAATGCATATTTATCTGTATCTCACTCATTTAAACTGTTATTTAACTCCTCTCTTTAAAACTTCTCTCTGTTAAATTTTAATCCCCACCTTCACCTTTAGACCTTCCTGTTCTTCTTTCTTCTGTTACACCACTCTCTAGAGCTTTCGTACATTTCCCTCTTACACTTGTTTCCCACTCCCACACATACACTCTCACTAAAATTTTGTTTTTTATACCTGGAGTTATATTTTCCGATTGTTTTTTTGAATTTGTAGGTCTGATGAATTGGATCGTGATTATGATTCCAATGTAATAAATTATAACCATGGAATATTAGTGTTTGAGCTTTTTTATATATATATATATATATATATATATATATATATATATATATTCTGGACTGAAGACGCACATGGTGGTACACAGGAGAGTTATAGGGCATGCAGATCTAATCAATCGAATCAAGGATACAGAGTTTATCTGTCATATACATTTTAATCAGTATCACACCATGCAAGGCAATAAAGCCACAAAAACACAATGGGTTACAGGGTGTGGAAGAATTAAAGCATAAACATTAATAATGAGCGGAACGAGAAATGAGTGAAGAGGGGGACAGTAGATTGCAAGGGAGTTCTACAAGCGACAAAAGAAACTGTTAGTATAGAACTTACGACTACATCTAGCCTGCTCAACTATAAATTATTAAGATCTCGACACCATTCTAAGTCCAGGTACCATAGCGAAAAGTTCATCCGAAAAATTACCATGTAATTATTTATAGAAATATATATACCTCATATTTATGAGAAAGCCAACTTAGGCTCCATTGATGCCATCACAAATAATTTTATTGATAAGTAAGATTAATCTGAGTAATCCGAATAAGATGTTGCAATCACCGTATATATATATATATATATATATATATATATATATATATATATATATATATATATATATATATATTTGATTGCAACATATATATATATATATATATATATATATATAAAAAAGTGAACCTAAAAAAGTCAACACTAAGTGTTGACTTCTATGTTCACTTTTATATTTACACACGCTCTATCTCTGATATTGAGCACTTTATCCCATAAATATAGCCCATCTTAAGTCTATATATATATATATATATATATATATATATATATATATATATATATATATATGTACGTAAATCATAGTGGAGATACTTTATAATCATTCAGACTAGACTAAATCTAGCATCAACGCAGATGTATAGCAATACAGACATTTTAAGTTATGTTAACGGCTCCTTATAAAAGAGGAAATGGTAGAAAACCAAACGGAAAATATGGGGTAGATATATGAATTAATTTTTGGCATTGGGAGTTGTGAATAATTAATTTGATTTTCAGGAAATTATGGAGATGAGAATTTTATGTTTCTACATCAAGAAATCCATTACTTAGTGAGGAAGAAACATTTGTTTTACACAATAAATATTTATTTTTAAACATAATTCTTTGTTGCCACAGCACTTAATGACAAATCGATCATTTTCGCGCCTTTAGAATGTGAAATATGTTTTATATTTAACGATACAACACCTAGAATCGGCAAACGGTGTTCAAATCTTGGCTCGTGTAGTTTGTGATCTTTTGAGACAATCCCGACAAAATATAAGACAATCCCGACAAAATATAAGAGCAGGAACTGCAGGGTGCGATGGATAAATTGTCGTTTAAATTGCGCAAAACTGAAAATAACATTGATATCTCATTTTAACAGATATATTTATTACCAAAATTACAGAAAAGTATCTTGAAATACGAAAGAGCAAATTTATTCAATTAAATCTCTATTGGCTTCAACCACGGCTTCCAGACGACCTTGGAATCTCCTGCATTTCTTCTGGACGGTCTCCTTGTTTAAGTTGGGGAATGCTGCCATTGATCCTTTGTTTCTGTTCATCTTTGGTGTCCCAAAGAGTTTTGTTGGTCTCTCATTCAACTGCACCGCACATATAATAATCAAGGGGGTTGCAGTCAAGGGAGTTGAGTGGCCAGATGTAAGGGGTAATGTGTTAGCAGAAATTATCTGACAGCCATGACTGGTTTCCTGCTTGTATGGCGCAGGGTCTTGTTGCCAGACATAGGCACTTCCAGTAGCCACCCTCTTGACCAAGGTCAGCACTATTTTTTATGGCTTATCAAGATTTTGCAGGCTATTAAAATTCAGAAAATATTTCCAGATTGTAAGTTTTTTTTTTTTCGACGACAGTGATTAACTGCTACAAGTTCCACTCATTAACCCTTAGCTGGGCGGGAAAAAGATGTAAAGTCATACGTTTCAAAAAGGTTATTTGCTCGTAAGTGAATATGACGAACCCGATTGGTATTGGAACTCGGTTCTTTTATCTCCAATTCCGAGCCGTTACCCATTGCACCACCCTCACATCCAAGCTTACAGCACCTGGTATTCCGAAGAGATCAACCATCTAGGCTCGACGTTGCTTAACTTTTTTTTGATAGATTATTATTTATTTTTTTTTTTTTTGTGAAATGGGATAAGCAGAGCACAATCTTGCTCAGCAACGTCATCAGTTATTTCTCACAATGTCAGTAATGAATTGACAAGTGATAAAATATCTTTAATTTTTTCAGTGGTGCCTAAATTTTATGCGTCTTCCGTTTTTTATGACATTGAATGCGAAATAAAGAAAATCACTAGAATTTCCAAATACAATTACACTTTGAGCTTTTACAATATCTTTCAGAATGAACAATAACATTTCACACATCGGATCATCTCAAGATTGAGAATAGCTGAAAATAGAAATAATAGATTGAATCAGTGACACGGCCTGTTTGTATTAAAACCTGTGAAGTTCACTGTGATTACCTGCCGTTTCTCGTCCAAACTGATCAGATATAACAGAGATCAAAATAAAATCGATTACATAAAGCTACTTTTGCATCGCCCGTCGATATTATTTCATTGACACGCACATAAGTCATTAGTGTAACTTGTGTAACTGATTCACCGGTTTTATCTCCGGAAGTTAATGTCTGTTACATGCGCATTGACTGGAAAATTGCAACGGTGCGCACTTAAAAGGAAGTAGTCTTTTTTAGAGAATGGCAGAGTAACTGAAGAGGAAATACTGCTCTTTTTTATTAATTATTAAGAAATGTGTAAAAAGCAGAGAAGAGTGAAAGAGATCTAAATGATGAAATCGAGAAAAAAAAAGAAGGAAAGAAAGTGCTTTGGGAAAGAAAACTGGAAAAAGAAGACAAATGGAAGAGAAAGTATAATGTATGGAAGGAAAAAGAAAACAGAAAAGCACTTAAAAAGAAAAAGGAGGGATGAGAAAGAAAAGGAAAATGAGAAAGAAAAGGGAAAGGATAAAAATATCGAATGAAATTAAACATAAAAAAGGAGATTGAATATAAATAATAATATTGAATTATCGCGGAAACCGAAATTAACTCATTAGTAAATAATATAAATAACAAAGCATAATATTTTTTCTAAATAAATCCACATTACAACCAAAAACGTTAGCGGCACCTCTCTTCTCTTCTTTTTAATATACATACTTTTCTCTCGTTGGAACCACTCCAAATATTTCTTTTTATATATATATATATATATATATATATATATATATATATATATATATTATAATATAAGCATGTTATAAAATCCCTACAAAATAGCCATTTTTGTTTAACACTTCTGGTCTCTTATCAAGTGATGGTGTTGATTGTAAAATATTTTGCTATCAACACCATCACTTGACAAGACACCAGAAGTGTTGAAACAAAATGGCCATTTTATAGTAATGTTATAACATGCTTAAGTTAGAAGTTAAGTTACTTTGTATTGATCACTTTTAAAAAATAGTGGTTTAAGTTATCGGAAATTTATTCCAGCTATACTAACCCTATTTCCGTATTATATATATATATATATATATATATATATATATATATATATATATATATATATATATATATAAGCATGTTCACAGACAATCTCTGTCTCTCTTCCCCACTTTCTTTATATATATATATATATATATATATATATATATATTTTAAGACATGTGGACAGGAATTTCAACACGGAACGGTGAAAATCTCTTTCTTGCAGATTTTCTGAAGATGACGTTTCATCAGGAAATAGATTTTTACTATTGGGTGTTGAACACCGCTTATACTTGCATAAGTCCTATTACGGAAATTGTTCACTTTTATCCCATAAATACATTAAGACTATATTTTATAATATATATATATATATATATATATATATATATATATATATATATATATATATATATATATAATGAGTAAAATGCAAAATAGCAACGTAGCAATCAATAAATATGATAAATAGTAATAAGAAGTGTACACAGTCATGTTTTGAATGTTGTTTTTCTTGATAAGCAAACTGTTATAGATTGCTGCAGCACAATCTTCTTCGCCACCATTACTTTCTAGTTGCTCCGATACTATAGTAAGTTCAATAAATATCACGAATAAAGAAAAGAAAGAAAGAAAAATAGAGAAAGACGGAAATAAAGAAATCACAAAAGATCCAAAGAAATGAAAAAAAGAAAAATGAAGGAAAACTATGGGAAAAATACAAACGACTGAATGAATGAATGAAGAAGAAAGAATATGACACAGCAAATAGGAACATCATAGAGAAACAAGAAGTAAGAAAGAAAGAAAGAAAAAGAGAATGATATCGAAAAAAAGTAAAAAGTAAAACGGAAAGAAAAAGAAAGATATTACGAAAGACAAAAGAAAAGGAAAAGAAGTCACGAAGGAAGGAAGAATATAAATAAAAACATGGAATGAAAAGAAGAAGTTAAGACACATAGAAAGAAAGGAGAAATGGAAAAAGAAAGAACGAACGTATAAAAAGAAAGAAAACATAAAAATAAAAACGAAAGAAAGGAAGAAGAAAACTGAAAGAAAAAAACAATCAATAGAAAAAGAAGGAAGAACACAATCGAAGCAATATTCAAATGTCTGGCGTAGTAATGCGTTATTTAAGCGAATGACAGTCATGTGTCTCTGCTTGAAAAAGAGAGATTGAGAGAGAGAGAGAGAGACAGGGAGATAGAAATAAAGAAAATAGAGAGATAAAGACAAAAATTAAATGGAAAAAAAAAAAGAGAACTTAATTACCGTTTTTAAATAGCAGTCAACGGTCACCGGTTGCGACTAATTATTTTTTACAGACTCCAATATGGCGGCAACCGTGTTTTTTTTTCAGCTCAAGGTTTCCATTTAAACATTCACGTTCGATGATCACCCAGGAACCAATAGCAATCCTCTAATTTGCATAACAGTACATTACAGTGCGGGATCACGCGAGCCAGTCACGAAGAATTAAGCGTCAACGTTGATTTTATTGCAGTATATCGGGGAAAAAAGAAAGACGTTTACATACCCCTACTTGCATGTATATAAAGATGCTGGTATAGCAGTGGATGGTGCTTTTGTTTTAGATTTATGCATGCTATCAGGGGATATTGTGGAGAAAATCAGGTAAGGGAAATACATATTTCCTTTGTGCTTTCTTAAGTGAGATACTAGCCCAGCCTTGCTGCAGGCGACAAAGCCACACTTATAGATGAAATTTGTTAAAGCAGGATTTTGATGGCGTCTCTGCTTCAGAGATTGTTGAAGCTAATCACAGTGCTTCAGTCTACTGTCATCAAAACCCTTTAACTTAATGACTTACACCACTCCTTTCGGCTTGATGCTTGGGCTTCCCAGATTTTCAGATCAAATTTGAGACGTTTCAAGATGTCTTCCAATTTGTCTTTGTAGCGTAAGAGTGGACTACCAACTGAACACCTAGAGTTTGGTAGTTGCCCATACAGCACCCTTTTGGGAAGCCTATACTCATCTATTCTCGCAACATGACCATCCCACCTAAGCTGTATCTGTACTAGAATGGTTTCTATGCCTGTGATATTACATTTCTTCAGTATTGCACTATTCTTGACCCTGTCATCCCATTTTATATCACATATGGCACGAAGAAAGCGCATGTGATGGGTGTCAAGTTGATTTATGTGCTTGTGGTACAATGATACATATATATATATAAAATGACTTGGCTGGAATTTAGACGGCTGTTTCATAACGTATTATTTATTTCCATTCTCTTGCATAATAGTGGTTATGCGACCAGGCATATAATCTACAGCATGATGGAGTCACTGCATGATTAGATTTATTCAAACACGTTCAAAGGCGGTACTTAAAGGATTCGTGTTTGTTGGGTGTGGCTACAGGGTATTTATGTGAGGTTTGCAATATGCATACTCAATGTGGATTAAATCCGCCGAACATTCGAGACATTGAAATACCTGCAAGTTAGTGGAGTGTCCATGCTTGATATTTCATGCGCATAGAGAGGGATTGGATTATCTTGCTGGAACATATCATCACCATTTGGACATATGGGGGTGCGTAGAGTTGGCAGAATCGTCTCCAACGAAATTTTGCATGCCACACTGGACAAGAGAGACTATAGCGTTTTACGCGTGGTCACTTGCGTTTACCAAGAGGATCACATTCCAAAGCATGACACAACCACCAGCAACTCGTACAAGACTTACTGATAGGCTGGATTCTTAATTCCTCCTCCACTCACGAACTCGACCGTCTAAACGAAAGAGACGAAAATCTCGAGGCAACATAGCGCCAGTATTCAATGGTTCAATGGTGATGTTCATAGATCGATTTAAAACGCAGTCCCCGATTCTGTAGTGTTGATCGCCGACTTTGAAACCCTATCAAATGAAGAGCATATTGTACACTGCTTTGGTGGATACATTGAATTGGGTTGCGATTTGCTGCAATGTTCAGTGGGTGCTTACCAAACATGTTGGCACTTCTTGCTTCACTTGTTGGTTCCCATATGATTTACTAGGAGATGATGACTATTTGAAGTTGACATGTTCTTGGTACACACTTGATGCAATTGTCCGATAACCCTTAGAGCATTTGACAACTCACAGAGAAATTTCTCCATTTTTATGCCAACAACAATAATTCTGCAACCAAATTGTAGTAAATTCTATCTTCGTCCCATGGACGTCACAGCTACATCGTCACAGTTACACTTAGTTTTACGGATTATATTACAAATCTGTTTCAAAAGGTGCATGGAAAAATCACTTGATTTTTCACTGGGTTATTTTTGTTTCATCGAAGAGATTCATGCCTTGTAAAAAGGCATGAATCCATCTCCCCTAACTTCTACCAAGCTATCGCTAAATAGTGGGCCTATCTAGTTCTTGGTAGGTCAACCACTGTAGGAGAAGGAAAGCAGAATTAGAACCTGAAGAGAGATGCATGGAAACTTCATGGCCCACTTTGCACCATTTCTCAGTCATTAGCTCTCCTGAAAAATGTGGTTGGTTCTGCACAAGACTTCTCCATGATAATGAAATCATCTGCGTGGAGATTCTAACGGTTAAGTCATAACCTAAACAGTTGCTCAAAATCGGCAAAACATCACCATATATATATATATATATATATATATATATATATATATATATGTTAGGATCACCTAATGTAAAACGTGTTCTCGGAATGACGTCATCTTCATCTGGCATCGCAAATATTTGAATGAGACATTTTACCATGTTTACGCGACGTCGAATACAGTCTAAAACTAAAACAAAAACAAAACACAAAAAAACAAAAAACAACTAGCACGCAACATCTAAAAGTGAGGTACAAAATCGTCATAAGGTTCTAGCAAAACGAACTTCTTGGTAATGGTTGAAGTCAGTTGAAAGCTTGAAATATTAAAAAAAAAGTGGTATGAAATGCGAATAGTGACTACGTAATTTCAGTTCTAATATAAGAAAAAAATTACACCCGCTAACAAGACCTCTGTTCGGGAGATTGAAGGTTTTGAGGAGCGTGGATCCCCGTTTAATTTCTGTAGCACCTATTAAATCCCCATCTATGGGAAAATAGTATCCCTCCCTCCACAAAAAGACAAAAGACTATGAAAGTATGAAAATACATTTTTATGGTAAAGATGCCAGCAATACATTTTTATATATAAAAAAATCTACCAACAACACATATTTATCGTAGAAATGACCAGAAATTGTATTTTATAGTTGAATTATCAACGACACATTTTATAGCAAAATAACCATAAATACATTTTAATTGTAGTTGAAGGCATAAAATTGTGTTCAAAATATTTAGATTTCGACACTAAATAACCCCTAGAGATGTTGATATGCCATTAAACGAAATCAAACAACCAATAATAATAATATAAGGCAATCA